CTTACCCCAGAGCTTCTGCTTCATAAAACTGACAAGAGGCTTGTGACTGCTTTACAAAGCTGCCCAGGTCCTTTCTATGCATAGCTAGGTTTGGAGACCATTCCTGAAAGTCTTAGAAACTCCTGGGTCATTAAGTAGAATTAGAGATTGGTTTGCTCCCATTCCGGGGCTCAGCTCCAGCAGCTGTCTGGCTGGGGTTACTCACAGAGCAGTGGGCATTTCCTGCAGCTGGGGTCTGCAGAGCACGCAGTGGCAGCGCTGGGACTCAGAAAGCCCCATTGGTCAGTTTCAGCCTGGGCCCGTGGCCCTCCCTCCCTGGCAGGAGTTGCATGAAGAGGTATTTTTGGAAGGTGCAGGAATTCTGTAGCCATTTGGAAAATGCCTGCTCATAGGCTGGGCTGAATTTTCTTTTTAAAATGATGATGTGGCTGAGGGACCTGACCTGCCCAGTTTTCCAGGATCTAGGGGTGGGGAAAGTGAGGAGCCCTGCTCATTTTTTTCTTTTTCTGTAAATTGTATCACCATTTTCTTTTTGTCTCAAATCCCTCTATCCCACAAGCTTCAAGAGAACTGTGAGGTGTCTCCTGCAGCTCATTGGCTCTTTGATGCTATTTGCAGGTAAGTGTTTCATCTTGTCCTGAATTAGCCAGGGCTTTTAGGTCACTTTAAGTCGAGCAAAATCTTAACCCTCCAACTCTTCATCGAGGATCTTTGGCTCTGGCTGCCTCACCTGGAGTCTCCCTAACTTTCCTGGCAGGACCCTGAATAACCTGACTGTCCTATTCTCTTCCCTGTGTCCCCCTCTGCTTTGCCCTGGTGGCCTTCATTGACAGCTGCAGCTTTTGCTGTCCATCCATCCATTCAGCCAGGCCCTGTGCTGGTGTGACAGACACAACTACCTTCTGTCATCACCATTTCTGCCCTTACCCTTGAGAGCTCCCTCTATCCCCACATCTCCAGCGTGTCTGCTCCCTCCGAAACATCTCTGCTCCTTTACTTGCATTGCAAAGGCAGCCTGTCCTCTCCATTTTCTGTTTCCAAACCCCTTGCTTCCAGCTCCCTTGAGCTGGGACAGGGAATTAAAAAGTAGGACCTGACATGATTGTCTTCCCCAATCTTCCATGTCCGAGGGCCTCTGGCTCTCTGCCATCTTCCACCACTGCCACCATCCTCTCTCCATGCCAGATCCTGGAATCCAGGAAGGGAGGTCTGCAGCATTTTTGTCCATATCAAAAGCAAAGCAATGCCAACAAGCTCCCAAAGCTAGAGGGCTATGTTGCCTTCTCAGTTCTCCTCCAACCCTGCTCATTCTTAGTTGTGCTGCATAGACTTTCCTTCCAGGAGGCGAGATAACTGTAGTAAGGAGTCCTCTCTTACCTTGGCTAAGCCTTCTTTCCTGGAGGTGAATCCCTGAGGCAGAAGTTGTGCAAAGGCTGGCCCAGAGGGGAGAGACTTCCCCAGCAAGTACTTGTCCATTTCCTCTTTTTCTTGGGCCTGCAGGGGCTTCCCAGGCTGTTTGGAAAAAACAGGCTCTGAGCCCTTTGAATTATCTGTAACAGGGTTTCAAAGTCATCTATGGCCTCAGGTGAGGTTATCTGATTCTGGGCTGATCACCTGGACAGGTAAGGCTGGGAAGGGAAGACAGATACACAGAGTGTTCAGAATACGTACACTCAATATGAGACTCGTTAAATTACACAGAGAAATATGAATGTCATGTAAACCAGATATTCATATAGGCTTGGACAGTGAGGTTTTTAGGAAAGAATTCTTTTCATAAAAAAAATTTATGTATTTATTTATTTTAAATGGGTAATTCAAGCATATAGCACAAAATTTCAAAAGGTGCCAAAGAGTATATACTAAAGAATAAATCTCTTTTCCACTCCTGTGCCCAAGTCCTTCAGTTTCCCTCCCAGAGACAACCACTGTTACCAGTTTACTGTGCATCCTTCCAGAGACTGTCTTTGAAGATGTGTGTGTATACTTTAAAAAAATACAAATGGGTATATTATATACACCGTTTTGAAATGTGTTCTTTTCACTTAAAAGCATATCTTGGGCCAGGTGCAGTGGCTCACATCTGTAATCCCAGCACTTTGTGAGGTTGAGGAGGGAGGATCACTTGAGGCCAGGAGGCCAAGACCAGCTTGGGCAACATAGTAAGACCCCATCTCTACAAAAAAAATTTTTTTTTAAAAATTAGCTGGACATGATGGTGTGCATCTGTAGTCCTAGCTACTGAGGAGGCTGAGGTAGGAGGATTGCTTGAGCCCGGGAGCTATGATTATGCCACTGCACTCCAGCCTGGGCAACAAAGCGAGATCCTGTCTCAAAAAAAAAAAAAGTGTATCGTGGAGTCTTTTTTCTTATTAGCATATACACTATATGCATTGGGAGCAGATTTAGAAAACAGGAAAAGTTCAGCTTGTCCCAAATGACCCTGAGCTTTGCTTCAGATCAAGCTGTTCTTTGCTCTGGCTGAAAGGCTGTATAGACTTTGTAGCCCCTGGGCCACCTGAAGCTGTCTTGCTCAGTGAGACATCCTGCCACGTGACAGATTTCACTGAAGGGATTCATGTCCTTTGTTCTTACTGAATTCTCACATCTGGAATTTGTCCTCACAGTTTAATAAGTGCTGGAAGGACAAGCGCCAGCTCCCCATCTGGTTACTTAATTCTTTTTCCAGGTCTTATAGGTGGATGAGGGATTTTCTGGGCAGTGTGGAAGGTCATGTCAGAGATCTGCCTCTCTGCCTTGTGGAGAGAGGCTGGCAGAGGCTGTGTACCTGTGGTGGCTTCAGTGTGACTCAGGTCATGGTGAGTTCTTTTCCTGAAGGGGTCTGAAATGTAGGAATTGGAATGTGACTTGCCTCTTGCTTAATGTTGAATGATTTAGGGGGCTGCCCTCAGGTGCATAGTCACCTTGCCACATTCTTGCCTTCTTTCCCTTTCCCCTCACTCTCTGCCTGCTGACCTTGCTTATTTTCTTTTGATAAATTTAATTAATTAATGTATTTATTTATTTATTTATTCGAGACAGAGTCTCACTCTGTTGCTCTGGCTAGAGTGCAGTGGCGTCATCCTAGCTCATTGTAACCTCAAACTCTTGGGCTCAATCGATCCTCCTACCTCAGCCTCCCAAGCAGCTAGCACTATAGGCGCACACCACCATGCCCAGCTAAGTTTCTACCTTTTTTTTTTCTTTAAAGAGATGGGGTCTCTCTTGCTCAGGCTGGTCTCAAACGCCTGATCTCAAGTGATCCTTCTGCCTTGGCCTCCCAGAGTGCTAGGATTACAGGCATGAGCCACTGAGCCTGGTCTTTTTGATGAATTTTATAATCCCACTGTCCATTTCTGCTGCCATAAGGAGTTTGAGTGAAATCAAATCATCTTCTTCATTAGATTTAAATTTTCCAAAGAAAAATATGGTGGCTCTTTCTTTAAATTTCCTCAGATCAAATTTGTTACAAGATTTTGCCAATGAAATAAAGAAAAAAACAAAGTTAGATATACCAAGTCCTTTCTCTTCTGGAGGCACTAGAGCCAGGGGCTTTCTGAGGTTTGTTATCTCATTTGATCTCCTTTTTTTTTAAAAAAAAAAAACAGATTTATTGAGATATAATTCAAATACCATACAATTCATCTATTTAAAGTGTACAATTCTCCAGGCACAGTGGCACGTGCCTGTAGTCCCAGCTACTCAGGAGGCTGAGGCAAAAAAAAGATAAAGTGTACAATTCAATGACTTTTGTATATTCACAGAACCATACAACCATCATCATAATCAATTTTATGATCACCCCCCAAAAGAAACCCCATACTCTTTAGCAATCACTTCCCATTTCCCCCATCCCACCAGCCCAAGGCATCTACCAATCTTTCTGTCTCTAGGGATTTGCCTATTCTGGACATTCATATAAATGGAATCGTATAATTTGTGGTCTCTGTGACCAGCTTCTTTCACATAATATTTTCAAAGTTCATCCATCTCACAGCATGTGTCCATATTTCTTTCCTTTTTATGTTCAAATAATATTCCATTGTATGGATATCACCTTCTGTTTATCCATTAATCAGTAGATGAACATCTAGTTTTTTTCTACTTTTTTTTGGCTATTATGAATAATGCTGCTATGAACATTGGTGCAGAAGTTTTTTGTGGATCTCATTTGATATTTACAGCAATTCTCTACGGTACACATTAGATCTAATTCTATAGATAACAAAACTGGTTCCAAGATGGTAGACAGCAATTTTGAATACAGCTGTTAGATTCCCGAGCCCATGCTTTCTCCAATCCACATTAAGATAGTTGAATTAATTGCTTTGACAGAACCTGGTGTAGATGTGCCTGTAGGAAGGAATTGTAAAAGTGAATGGTTAATGTTGTGAAATTTCAGCCCTTTCCCACCTCTCCCTTCCTGCTTTGTCTTTTTCTCCTTTCCTAGTCTTCGAGTCCTTCTCTTAGGTAGTCAGTTTCCCATCCCTGAGGTCGGGCGAGAATCTATCGCTCATTTACACTTCAGTGTGGAATACGATATTGTGCGAATTTGATATTTGCCTTTGCGACTTATCTCCGACGAGACGAAGGTGCCGCTGAGGCAGTGGACTGGCAGAGGAGGGGATTTCCTGGGAAAGCTCATTTTCCCTGTCCCAGGGCTTCACGGATGAAGGCCTTCTGGGCCACCCACGTGGGGGACTGGGGCGGGGAGGACTGCCACCTGCTAGCTGCTCGGCTCCAGCTGGGCCGCGCGCACCGCTGCTCGGGCAACAACCGAGTCAGGCAGGTGGAGGCCAGGAAGCCCCCACGGGAGCGCGCACGAGCAGGGCGGCGGGGGCGCCGGCCCGGCCGCGACGTCAGACCCCCGCCTCTCGGCGCTGGCCGGACCGAGCGAGCACTAAGTCCCGCCTCCCTCGGTGGGCAGCCGGCCGGAACCCGCGAATCAGAGAGGCCGACACAGCACCCGGCCGGGCGTCCGGCAGCCAATCACAGCACGCGTGTGATCCGGCGACCGCCCGGGAGGCTGGCAGCCGGCGCAGAGGCTGCGACGGCGGGAGTCGCTGCTGAGACGGCCGCGGGCGCGGGTCGCGGCGGCTCTGTTCCGCTGGGTCGGGCCAGGCTGGCAGCTGCTGGCGCCTGGCAGTGAGGGCTGGTTCGCGGGGCGGGCGAAATGGCCCCCACCTAGGGCGGCAGGAGAAGCAGCTGAGCCCGGGATGCTGGCGCGGCGGCTCGGCGGCTCCTCACGCATCCCAGGTAAGGGGACGCCGCGCTCACTGCGGCTCCGCTCGGAGTGCCGCCCCGGTTCCCCTGTTTTCTGCCGTCTCCACCCGGCTCCGGGTCCCAGCCGGCTCGGTCTTGGCATTCCTCGACCCCACGTCGCCTCCTGCCCGCGGGTCTCCACGTCTGCCCCCGGCGGCTGTCCAACCCCACCCCCAAGCGCGGCTCCCCGGGTTCTGGCCCATCCGGCGGCTGCTCCCACGCCCCTTCCCCCATCGCAGCTTCTCGCTGTCGCCCGCTCCCCCGTGCGCGGTCGATCTCCCTGCCCTCTCACCTCTGCCCCTTCCCCTCTCTTTTCGCGACGCTGGTACCACGTCCCAGCCCCGCAGTCCTTTGGGGCTTGGCTTCTTCGCGAGATGAGACTACCCGTCCGGCGAGATCGTCTTTGCGTTCACCTGTACCCGGGTTGCGGCTTCGGGAAGCGCACCCCCATCCCTGCTCTTTGTACCGCGTTCTTCCTACGTGTCCGTCGCCCGCCCCCCTCCAGGTGTCCCTGGGTCTTGCTCTTTTGCTCCCAGACGCCGCCTTTTCCCAACTCGCCTTTTCTCCCTTCATTTTGATCAACCACCGTCGCTATCTCTTCTTCTTTTCCTTTACACTTAAACCTTCAGACACTTTCCCACTATCCTGAATGCCACATCCATAACATCTTAATTCGTCTTTAAGTGACTTGCATCCATAACATGGAAAGTGCCTTCCCCAGAGCCTGGCACACAGTAGGCCCGGCACGTGGTGGGTGCTCACACATGTTAGCCTCTTCCGCCTTTTGTACTCTCCAGATGGTAGTAGCCAGTTTAGGATCCACATGGATTTGACCCGCTATCCGAAGAGTGGTATGGGTGATGGCAGGACGAATCAGTGAACTCCAAGTGTAATAAAGCGATTAAGTGATCAATTACTTACTGCCATTATTTATTAAGAAGAAACAATTATGCTGTCTTTGTGTCATGTATAGTTAAATGCCTCTGTAAAGGATTCTTAGTCTGTTATTCAGCAATCTTTGCGATATAATTATCCCCATCCCCCTCCATTTACAGTGTTTAGGAAAGAAAGAACCCCTACCTCCTAGCTGAAATAGCATTGTGTTAATATATAAAGCAGTGTTGCATGTGTTTGTCTATTAGCTGGATAGTACAGGGAGCTGCAGTGAATTTTCATCCTTTAAGAGCCAGGAGGAATCAGGTTTGGATCTCTTGGAATCAGCTGCTGCAGGGATCAAATATGCTTAGGAATGAAAGTTCTGACAAGTTCTCTAGGAGTGAAAGAGGAATTATCTACCCTTCCTCTGCTTCCCCCAGCTCTCTTTCTGGCTCTCAGAGGAAACAGCTAGTCATTTTTTTTAAAAGAGTAAAATAAATTTGACTTTTTAAAATTATAAAAACATTGTTATGGGCCTTGTACTATTCTTGCCACATTTGCACTACTGATCTCAAGCCTGGATGAATCAGTCAGCTTTTTCTGCTCCTGGGCTCCCTAGGGCAAGCTGGAGAAAATCATGAATTGTGTTGTTCTAAACTTCTGGATTCCAACTTCACTTGTACTGCCTGGTGATCCTTTGACTTACCCTTCAGTTTCCTCTTATGTACTAAAATCTAAATGGCAGTTTGCACATCTTTACCATTCTTCTCTCTTTGTCCTACTCTTGCCTTCTCTTCCTTGCTTATTTTGCCTCATGCTTCACAGAAGAAATTGATGGGCATCAGCCCTGAACGCTTAGGATCTGTCATTGTTATCTGTGCCTGTACATATCTGATTTCTGATCTCCTTTCCTTTTATCTTAGAGGAAGAGGGATCCTCCTTTCTAAGGCTCACATCTTTGATTTCTCCCCGTAATTATCATTTGTTTTCTCTCAGCCTGCATATATGCTCAGGTTTCTACCATCCAAAACAAACAAAACAAAAAACCTTCCCTTGATATTTTGCTTCCTTTTTTTAATTTTCAGATTAACGTGGCATTCCTTAGGGTTTCATTTTTTGTTCTTTTCTCTGTTCTCTCTCTAATTTCCTTGGGTGATTATACTTCCTTTTATGGCTTCAAATAGCACCTGTATATTTATGGTTTTTGAAGATGTATGTGTGGTCCCCACTTCTTTTGAACTTCAGGTACTAATTTTCATCTGTCTACTGCATAACTATACATAGATACTTGGTACTTCAAACCTGGTTGTTTATCTTTTCCTTCCCTTCCTCTCTATCCATAGCCCCCTCAATACACATACAAACATTCCTTCTATTTTAAGATCCTTACCCTGGAAACCTTGGAATTGTCTTCTTTCTCATCACATCGTCTGTCTTAAATCCTATTGTTGCTAACTCAACTCTTTTTCTTTCTCTCCTTATTGCTAGAAGATTGGTTCAGGCCTTGGTTATACTTTTCCTGAACAGTCAGCAGCAGCCTCATGGGCCTCATTGTCTCTGGGTCCTATACTCTAGTTCATCCTCCAGACTGCTGCTGGAATTAGTTTCATTTCTAAGATATCTATGTGATTATGCCACTGTTTTCTTTAAAAAGAAAACAGTGTTTTCTTCATCAGCTCCCTAACACTTACCATTATGAACCATTCCTTCCAGGCCTTCTGCAGCATGGGCTCATCCTTATCCTGGTTCCTTCATGATCCAGAGCAGAAAGCAGTTAAGGAAACAGACCATTCGCTATAGTGTGAGTGAAACTGTGACAAAGATGACTACAGAGTGCTCTGGGAGCACCACCCTGGAGAGAATGAGGCAAGGTTTCTGTCCATAGGCACCTAGTACTTTTTCTGACTACCTCTGTTCTTCCACTTGGGTTAGGTGATTTTCTTTGTGTTCGCACATACTGCCGTATCCATTTTTACACCATTATAATGGTCAGTTTTTTATTTTTTACCCTGACTGGTTAGTGAACTCTTTAAGGAAAGGGGTTCAATCATATCTCATTGTGTCTTTAGTTTATAGCAAAGTGCTGGGCACATAATAGGTGCTCAATAAACTAATAAAGTTTTCCAAAAAGCTGAATCTAGACAATGAAAGGTAAGAGGAAATGGGCATTTTGGAAGAGAAAGTAACATGTACAAAGGTGTGTGACAACCTGGTTCTTTTAGGAAAGAACTGATGGTTTGAAAAGGCTGGAGAAAGGGCATGATGAGAGATGAGGCTGGAAAGGTATATAGGAGCAGCTCGTGAATGACTTTGTGTGTCTTACTATGTAGTTTTATCCTGATGGTAGTGAGAAATCTTTGAAGGATTTTATCCTGGGAAGATCTTGCGAAGTCTGGTTTGTTCCCATCTCAGCCTCCATGTCTTGCTGCATGCTGTGCCTTTTGCCTTAGCCGTATAAAATCACCTACATTACCTGAACATGCTAGATGGCTTTGTGTCTCTTTCTCCATGGAATGCCCTTTCCCACCTTAGCCACCTGTAGATTATACATGTTCATGGTTGCCCCTGCAGTAAAGCCTTCCCACATCTCCCCTCAGTTCATCTTCCTCTTAATTTCTACTGTCAAAATACATGTGATCATTGCATTTACTTGTTTATGTGTTTTTCTCCTCTTTCTCAGCTCTAAGGGTAGGGCTTTGAAATCAGGCTGGATTTTGATTCATGTCTGCATCCCCTACTCTGGCAGGTAACATGAATGAGTGTTGTAACTGCATGTGTTTTGAGAAAAATCACTCTAATCTCTGGTAGCATTGTGGAGAATGGGTTATAAAAGGGCAAGACTGGACACATGAAGACCAGTTAAGGGGGTTGTTACAGGAGTCTAGGTGAAAGGTGACGAGACCAGTGAGGGTGATGGGATGGAGTTGAGGGTATAGATGTGAGAGTGAATCAGCTGAATAAGGAGAACTGGTTAGGTGTGGAGGTGAGGGCAAGAAGAAGAAGGAAGAGTCAAAGATGACTTCTTGATTTCTGGCTTGGGTGACTGGGCAGTGGTGGTTCTGTTCATTCAGATAGGAAATACAGGAAAAGAAACAGGTTTTGGAAGGGTAAGGAGAAATCCAGTGCTACCATGTTTTTTTTTTTTTTTTTTCCTCCTCACTGTTAACCTTGGCATCCAATGGTACCATCTTGATGTCTGGGAAATAGCTCAAGAGAACGGTTAGGCCTAAAGATGGAGATGTGTGTGGAGGTTCTGCACCAGGATTAAAGCTAAAGTCATCAGAAGTAGGTGAGATTGCTAAGATACTTTTTTCTTTTTCTTTTAAGAGACAGATTGTTGCTCTGCTGCCCAAGCTGGAGTACAGTGGCAAAATCATGACTAACTGCAACCTCGAACTCCTGGGCTCAGGCAATCCTCCTGCCTTAGCCTCCTGAGTAGCCAGGACTACAGACATGCGCCACCACACCTGGCTAAGTTTTAAAAAACTTTTTATAAAGACAGGTTCTTGCTGTGTTGCTTAGGCTGGTTTCGAACTCCTGACCTCAAGTGATCCTTGCTCCTTGGCCTCCCGAAGTGCTGGAATTACACATGTGAGCCACCCAGCCAACATAGGCTACTTTAAAAACACCTGGGGAGCTTTTTAAAGGGTCAAGATGGGTGATGGAGGCATCCAAAGAGATTCTCATTGATTTGGTCTCGTGCAGGGCCAGACCTTGTTATTTAAAAATGCTTCCCATGTGACAGTGATATACATACATCTAGGGCTGAGAACCGGGCTGAGAGCAAAGAGGGAGTGATAGAACCCTAAGGAAAGTAGTATTTAATTCATTCTTTAAAAATCAGGATAAATATCACCTTTGTTAATAGGGTTAGTTTCTTACTTTCCTGGTATTTTGTACATGGACCTATTAAAGTACTTACTGCATTTTATCTAAATTATATCTTGTGAGTCCATTTTTCTCACAACCAGGAGTTCCTTGAGGCCTGGACCATGCCTTTAGTTTATCTTTTCATCACTATCTTGCACAATACTTGATAGATTTTAGAAACTTGATCAAAGTTGGTTGAATGAATCAGTCGGTAGTAATGTAAAACAGATCTTGAATTCACATTTTTG